TGTGACACAAGGTGATAAGGTGTGAGTGGTGAAAGTAGGTGTAAAACTGTTACAGAGTTTTGCACGCAGCTCTGTGGAAGATAATGCGCAAGTGCGGGCTTAGCCCGACTATCATCACACTGATCGAGTCCCTGTACCAGCATGTACCAGCAGTCCCAGAATGCTGTAAGAGTAGAAACAACGGTTAGGAGTTGGTTCCATTCCGTTAGGAAAGGTTGCATTCTATCGCCCTCCCTATTCAACATCTTCTTGCAAGAACTGGTATCTAGGTCATTAGAGGGATTCGCGGGTTCCATTAGCATTGGTGGACGCATTATAACATACCTGCGATTTGCAGATGACATTGATCTGGTGGCTGGCAGCGAAGAAGAACGGCAAGAAAATCAGCACTGAGAAAAGTAAGCTGCTGGTAACGGGAACCAGCAAAGGTCTGTCCGCAAGCATAGCCATCGACGGTAAGCAGCTCGAGCAGGTTGACGAGTTCAAATATCTGGGCAGCACGATTACTGATGATCAGCGTTCAATCAAAGAAGTGAGGAGTCGGATCGCAGCAGCCTCGGCTGCTGTTGCACGAATAGTAACAATCTGGAGCGATAGAAACATCAGTATCGGCTCGAAATTACGTCTACTCAATGCTATTGTTTTATCCATATTCCTTTATGCTAGCCAGTCTTGGAGCCTAACTGCTGAAATTGTGAAAAAAATCAAGGCTTTCGAAATGAGAAGCTATCGACGCCTTCTCAGGATTCCGTACACTCGTCACCGGACGAATGTGTCTGTTAGAGAGGAAATAAATAGTATTCACAAACAAGTCCCACTTATTGTTTCTGTTCGTAAAAGGAAATTGCAATGTTTTGGTCATATTGTTCGTTCCGGCTATGTGTCATTGACTGTTCTTCAGGGTTGTGTTGCTGGAGGTCGTGGCCGAGGTAGGCCCAGAATGTCATGGCTTGATAATGTTTTCTCATGGACTGCACTTGACGTGCAGTCCCTGCTCACTGCTGCACGCGATAGATTTTTATGGCGCTCGTTTGTTCATACTTGCTCTGTGACGCCCCGACGGCTTCAGGGCTGTGGGCGTGTGCTGATGATGATCTATTGACCGCCTGCAGACTTGGGGTGCCCAAAGGAAGATAAAGTTTGAGCCATCAAGATCTCAGGCAATACTCTTTGACCGCCACAGACCACCCCTGGATGTTGTCCCACAGCTCACATTTGATGGCATGCAGGTGCCTGAGAGCCCTCAGCTCAAGCTGCTAGGAGTGTTATTTGACAGTACTCTCTCCTTCCGGGCCCACATCCGTTCCTCGAGCCTGGACTCTACACTAAATGTTTTTGCACAGCCCTTTTATCCTATCTCCAGCTCCTTTAGTTCCTCTAATCATTCTACTCAATCTTCTTCCCACGTGTCTGTTGCGGTGATAAATGCACGCTCAATAAACAACAAACTCGGTGAACTCTCCATCCTTTGTAATGCCAAGAAGCCTGACATTATTCAGTATTCCGCCGTGACCGACCGCAAACTCCCTCTAACCCTGATCCCTTAAGAGACTATGGGTTGTTGCCATCCTGGTGCTCACTACCGCCTTCAGCAAAGTGAGAGAGATTCACTCATTTTGCCAACAGAACTTTGAAGCAATTGCTGTTGAAGCTACTCCCAAAGGTTCATCCCAACCACTGTCGTTTGCCTGCTTGTATAGACCCCCTAACCAGCACGCTGCTGACCTACAATATTTTGTAGATACTCTGCGGACTGCTCTCATTAAGCTACCTGCTTCATCATCTACCATTGTAACTGGTGATTTTAATGCCCATTGCCAGAGCTGGTGTGCCTCCGACTCAACATCTGCTGTAGGCTCTGCCTTGTGTAACCTTTTTCGCTCCATAGCACTGTCTCAACTTGTTACGTTCCCCACCCATCTTACATCCAATGGGCCCCGTGGCTGCCTGGACCTGGTCGCCACAAACATTCCCGAGAGGTTCACGTTCATTGAATCCCTGAGCCCCCTGGGTGCCTCCGATCACTTAATCGTCCTCGGCAGGCTCTCCATAGCTAAAGACATAGCACAGTCTCCAGAGTCCACATCTGACACTGCACCGCCTCGCTTCAGCCATCACTTGCTCACTCAATCGCAATGGGAAGGCGTCAATGCTGAGATTGCCGCAACTCACTGGAGTGACCTTTTATGCGGCCTTGATATTGATACAGCCGTTTCTAACTTCTCGTCTGTCCTCGAATCGTCTCTCTCAGTCTGCTCTTCTCACCGCGATCACCAGTCAACCACCAGAAACCGAAGCCGCCCTTCATGCCAGGATCCACCATGGATGACACCAGTGCTCAGGGCAGGCATTAAGAGAAAGCATGACCTCTACAGCATCTATAAAAAAATACCCTTCCCCGTCCAAAGCAACGCAGTACAAACGTCAGCGGAATATAGCAAAAACGTTATCACGTGTAGCCCATAAAGAAAAAATCCAGTCCATTACTACTTCTCTCACCGACAGCCAGCGTCCATCACTTCACTCATTTATAAGAACTCTTCGTAAATCAGCAGCGTCATTGGGCTCTAGTCCAACAGCAATCACACGGTCTTACCAAAGTTACGCCACTGCGCCTCTTGATATTGCGGATGCTCTGAATGAGCAGTTTACCAGCTTCTGCGTTAAGAATAGACCTGAATGGTTAGTTCCTCCTATCCACCAAATACCTTCAGAGTCAACGTTTACATCGCTGACGATTTCATCCCGTACTGTAGCCAGATACATACGCAGTCTCCCCAATAAGAAGTCTCCTGGTTAGGATGGTATACCAAACGAAATCCTGAAACACCTCCAAGACAGCCTAGCATATCCGTTATCGCTGCTCTTTAACATCTCTCTGTCGTCTGGAATCTTTCCCTCCGCATGGAAATACGCATTAGTGGTCCTAATTTATAAGCGCAAAGGCTGCCGGTCGGATGCAACTAACTACAGACCCATCTCCATACTGTGCTGTATTTCAAAGCTGTTTGAGCGCATTGTGTACGATCAGCTATATCGACACTTGTCCCCGTACTTGCATACCATGCAGTCTGGTTTCCGGCGAGGGGACTCCACAGCTCTGCACCTAGTCCACCTAATCCAAAACATCATGCAGTCCTGACATTTGAAAGAACATACTGGCATGTGCTTCTTTGACCTGGCGAAAGCCTTTGACACTGTTTGGCGTAGAGGCCTGATTGCCATGTTGGGTGCCTATCGCATTGGTGGCAACCTGCTTTGTTTCTTTGAAAGCTACCTAACTGACAGGTCACAGGCTGTACGCGTCGGCAACACCCTCTCGTCTCCCCAGGCAATTAATTCTGGTGTGCCGCAGGGGTCAATCCTGGAGCCACTATTCTTTTTAGTCTACGTCAATGATCTACCGATGTCTGTCCCTAATGTTTCACTGTTCGCCGATGACACCACAGTTTCCGCTTCAAGTAGTTGCAAGCAATTGCCAGTCAATGACCTCCAGAAAAAGATAAACTCCACCATTTCTTGGATGTCGACTTGGAAGCTGAGACCGAACACTAGTAAAACCAAAGTGATGTTCTTCTGTAGCGGTGCTAGTGATCACTTCTGTAATTTGTCTTTATCATGTCCTGGCAGCTCATCGACCATAGACATTGTCCATGAACATAGGCACCTTGGTATATTTATTGACGACTGTCTAACATGGGCTCCTCATGTAGACTATATTTGCAAGAAAACTAGTAGTGTTCTCGGCATACTATATCCTCATCGTTCTCATTTGCCAAATACATGCCGTTCTATGTTTTATCGCTCGTATCTATTACCTATTTTCCAGTATGCATGTCAGTCTTGCTGTAGTCGAAGTCAACATCTTGTGAACAAACTTGAAATCCAACATAAATCTCTACTTAAAATATTGTTTAACCAGCAGCGTTTATTTCCTAGTCTTGAGCTCTATTGTATCAGCAATACTCAGCCACTGCAAGATAATCGCAAACAGCAGCTTTGCGTTTTGATCCACAGAATTCGCCTTGGTGAAATTCACATTCATCTCTCCGTATTCAATTGGTTTTCTCTGTCCCGGTCCACTCGTAATAGTCTCTCACTTCCCCGTGCTAATTCAGCCGCATTTACAAACTCTCCTCTGTTTTTGTCCTACAGCCTTTGGCTGCAACATGTTAAGACATCAAAATGTCTTTCCAGCTTTAAAAATGCACTCGAATCGCATAATGTAGTACGATAGAATCTCATTGCTGGATTCTTGTCTATCCTTCTTTCTTCTCTTTTTCTATATTCCTTTCTTTTCTTTTCTTGCCGTGGTTGGCTATCACCCCTCTCTCTCACTTTGCGTGCCAATTGGTCATGAACCACGAGTTGAGTGAAATAAATAAAATAAATAAATAAAACCAATCATCAGACAACGATAGTGGAATAGGAGACTGCGTTGGTGATTATCGAAGTTGAGAGAGGTGTGTTAATACGTATAGAATCTAGTTACCTTGGTGAACTGTTAGACATACCTAGTAACTTTATGGTCTGTTTTTACTTTTACTTAATATTACCTCACCATCCAAGTTTAAATCATCACAAGTGTGGGCAGAGTTCTCTACATGTACCAAACTGAGTAGTAAAATAATATCACTTCTGTTTTGTTCTGTTTGGTACTTTTTTCTAAAGTACCATAATATACATGTACTTCTCAATTCCCGCTGATTCTCCGTTTGAAACAATGCATACTGCTAATAATTATAGACAATGTGGATCAGTTAGCAGAATTTTGATAAACTCTCGGTTGGTTAATGTCGAGCATAGTCCTCGACCAGGCACCATCGCGTCTGCATGATGAGGTGTGTCCCCGAAAAAGAGATCGTGTGTATTCAGTATATAACACAGAACTGCATAGCAGTTCGTGAAATTATCCATAATTTTAGACTTGAATATCAAATCACCAGATTCAATAACTAGATAACTGGATCCTTCTTCTGCTTTGAATTTTTACCATACAGTTTCACCACCAAGTCAACACTGTGGTACCGCATTATCTCCTGTAGCTAACGGAACTATCACCTATCCAAGTGGAGACGTGTTTCCGTCGCAGGCCTTTCTTGATTGTGATCTGGGGTATACTAAGAGTTCAGTGAAGTGGTACGCAGATTGTGAAGCAAATGGCGCATGGGCTTTTTGGAGTGGTTATCAAAGGTGCACTCGTAAGTTAACTACTATATTAAATGATTAGCCTCCTGATCTGTAAATCTTGGAAACATTTCTTGTTCTGTAAATTTCTGTAAGGAGCAGATATCACCCGACGTGGCAAGGTTTCCGACTTGACTCGAAGTTGGCTCCTTTTACCCTTGAGTTGAATTTTTCGCCACCTATGACAGGATATGGTATGTTTTTTTACTTCGTTTTAATCTACCGTATCTCCATTACGCGAAGCTGTGTAATAATAATAACAATTAGTTGCGAAATTGGTACAGAGACCTTCCGTGTAGCGTAAAGAAAAAGTACCAAGAAACTACAAGTAACGCTATAATGTCAACTAACACAACCAGTTACTAAACAATCAGCTCGCGCAATAACATTGCACGAAACTGACCGACGGTACTAACTGGCTAACAGCTCTAGCAGTTGGATGCTTACTCCAACAGCATTCCAACTCGGAAGGTGCAAAGCTAATAGGCTCCGCTGCCGTTCGCCGTGGGTCGAGAAGTGGTGGCCAGGTCACTGATGGCAAACCCACCTCAGCTCCAACCACCCACGGCACCCCAGGTGGTGGGGCCGGTGGTAGCACGAGAACAGGCGGCGCTGTCGGCACAGCGTGTTTGTCTACTGAGCTAACTGGGTTCTTACACGGCCTACCACGCTTTGGCCGCTTTGCTCTGGCTGCTGGTGGTAATAAGTGCAACGGCACATGTTGTCTGATACGTGCGTTCAGGTGTTGAAGAGTCCTACCAACGTACCGGGCAGCACAATTCCGGCACTCAAAGAGATAAACCAAATGGCTTGAAAGCTGGGGAGGTAGGACATCCTTCCTCACCATGAACGCACGTACCGTGGTGAACACGGGGATGAAGTGGGCAGCAAAGTATGTTTTATTGACCAGGGTCTTGATAGCTCTGGCCATGGTGACAGACGCGTTGCCTTTCCAAGGCAGGCATAAGTAGATAGGACACTTCCGAGGACCTGTGAATGTATCTTTGTTATTAGATTCTTGCTTCAGTATTTTGTTCAATAAGTCATGTGGGTATCCATTCTTAAGGAATATTGATCTGAGAAATTCCAGCTCGTCGTTAAGCTTCGTTTCAGAGCAGAGCCGCTTTGCTCTCCCCACCAGGTTACGTACTTATTACCACCACCAGCCAGAGCAAAGCGGCCAAAGCGTGGTAGGCCGTGGAAGAACCCAGTTAGCTCAGTAGACAAACACGCTGTGCCGACAGCGCCGCCTGTTCCCGTGCCACCACCGGCCCCACCACCTGGGGTGCCGTGGGTGGTTGGAGCTGAGGTGGGTTTGCCATCAGTGACCTGGCCACCACTTCTTGACCCACGGCGAACGGCAGCGGAGCCTACTCTAGCACAGCATCATCGTCCTGGAATGGAGGAGGGGCTACCGAGAGAAACTGAACCCTCACCTCGGCAGTTGCCCTTGCCTCCGCCTGAGCCACCCCCTTTACCTTTGGTGACTACCAAGACGGTGGTCCCCTGGTGCTGGGATCCACGGTGCCGACTGTGTCTGGACAGAGAGGGAGATCATCGACAAACCAAAATGAAACCAATATCCTTACCCATAGACCCAGAAGAAGCACAGCTACCTATTCACTTGAAATTTATGCACGGAATGGACGTGGCCCACGCAAAATGGACAGTGGAAATGGGTGTGCAGTAGCAGAGAACCCAGCAACGGTGACGCGGAGCAGCGGTCAAACGACTTGTGATGCTGTTGGAGATGATGGAGCCATGTTGAGGGCTGATAAGGAGTGCAGTGAGACTGAGCATCAAACGGATGATGAGGAAGTGACTGATGATGATGATGGTGGTGATGAGGACAATGATGATGAAGATGAGACGGAGGACGAGGATAAGGCGGAGGAGGTTGAAGGAAAGGAGCGGGATGAGACGGAAGAGAGCGACGTGAGCAAAAAGTCAGCTGTATTTTGTCACTTGTTATCACGTCCAGATTGTCTTAGTGTGTACGATGATTCTCACTTTTCTGTTTTGTGCCGTGCAAGTTATGTTAAGCAGTTGAAGGTTCTGGAAGCTGTATGTATTCGTGTGCATAATCCTGTTCTTTGTAAACAAAAGAAGCATGTAGTCGCGCTAAAGTTGTTCTCGTAGCTGGTTATCAGATGTAAATGTTGTGTCAGGTTGCACTGTATCACCTCATGCTTTGTGCCTGCACTCAGTTATATATGTTAGCACTATGTTTGACACCTATTATGTAATGCTGTAGCACTTCCTTTTTTTTGTTCACACTTTTAATTATGCTGTTATAAAATGTTCTATTTTTTTTACACAGTACCCTCCGTTCCGATACTATTCACTGATGGGCGGAACACGAAAATCGATTTTGAAGAATATAAAAATACTTAAAAATTTCCATGAACTCGTTGTTGTCTGGCCATGTCTGCATCGATTATACTCTTAATTGCACTAATAAAATTGCTTTTTCCACGCCGACTCTATAATAATAACAATTATAATTAATATAAAGAATTGCCAATTTTAGGTAAGAAAAGTTGAAAACAAGCTGGTTCGGTCTGCGTTCACTACGAGAAATATTGATTTAAAAAGGGGTAAGATATGAGGTTGAAAGTAGATGTATTTAATGGTGAACTAGCTGTGCTAGTACTTGTTAGCAACAATCCGAACTAGCGCACACACACTGCACTGCATTGCTTTGTACTGCATTCAAGACTGACGTCATGCGCTTTGTTTTGCTGCGTAATCACAAATGGCACCAGCCCATTTTGTCATGAATGTCACCACATCATGAAGACTACTTCATATCAATTTGAAGTTGCAAGTATAGACTCCCGCATTGCATGATCATATCGTAATTAATCAACAGACAGTCCAACTTGCCATAACATTTTATTATCATATTCCAAATACATTTGAGTTGGGACTTACGATGTCCAACGACGACTCTGATTACCCAGCTGATGGCACGCGTACATTGTGAATCCGAGTATTCCCAATGTCGCCTCCATCTCATCATATAATTATACTCTCCTGCATGTTTGTCTCTGCTGCTCATCACAAACTACTTACATCTGAACTTGTTTTCTTCTTCTCTGAATGCACTCGTTGCTAGCTGCCGAGATTTGTTTTCTTGTAGTTGCATCATTGCATTCCGCATGATCCGCGCTTGCATGATGCACGCACGCACGCACACACATACGGTGGTGGTTGGCAAGTTTTGATTAGGGTTGAAGGTGAAGTTTTTAGAAAGGAAACTGTGGTATGAGAATGAGTCTGATGAGTCTGTCTTCCCCTACCGTTCTCGACATGGTGCTGTGACCAGGATTCGAACCTGGGTTACTACATGATCCGCGCTTGCATGATGCACGCACGCACGCACACACATACGGTGGTGGTTGGCAAGTTTTGATTAGGGTTGAAGGTGAAGTTTTTAGAAAGGAAACTGTGGTATGAGAATGAGTCTGATGAGTCTGTCTTCCCCTACCGTTCTCGACATGGTGCTGTAGAGACCAGGATTTGGAACCAACGCGTCCAACAACTTTCGTTTTTTTACGATGGACGGAGAGGTTGAACAGACAACAACGAACGATGGAGAGGAGTCCTTGGATCAGACGACTGAGAAGCAAAGCACATCTCACGTCCTGGACCAAGTGGTTTACAACGACCTAGTCAAGAAGCGAGGCAGGGCCAAGGGAAGGGTGACGCGAGTAAGGAGGAGGATCGAACATGAACTCCGTAAAACGGAGGAGAAATTCGTTAGTCTGTTGTCACTTCAGAGTGATGTTGAGAAAATCCTACCCTTGATTGACACAGTGAACGACCTGTCCGAGCAGATTGGTACCCTGCTGGAGAACTGCGAGGCAGACGAGCGTGTGGAAGACGCACTAATTGATTTGGAAGCCTGGGATGATGGCTTTGACCACGAATGCACAAGTGTGTCGGACGCACGTGCACTACTCGACTATAGAGGGGTAGGGACACATTCACCAGTGGTGACGGAGCTTGCTGCAGAGGCAGCAACACCCCAGAAGGCCACCCGGCACGATACAACACAGGAGGTAGTGGTCGTGGACAGTGATGGGACGGACAGGCCCACGGGCGAACTGCTGGAATCAAAGGAATTGCCGGCAACAGGCACGGGCGACACGGAATCTGCTGCAGGCAGACTGGACAGCCCTAGCACGGGTGTGGAGGCAAGGCGTAGCACAATGTCCACAGGCACGGACATCAGTGCTACTACTCAGAACCCTGTGGCTCAGGCTCAGCATACGGATACAACACAGGCCCAGCCAACTGTCCCGACACCAACCAATTCCCCGGACATGATACAGGCCATGGCATTAGCGGCAGCCCACGCTGCAACCGCGGCAGCTGGCCTCAGTACTGCCCCACAGCCATCACGCCTCAACGTCCAGCTGCCAAAGCTGACTCTACCGTCCTTTTCTGGCAAGGTGATTGAGTGGCCAGAGTTTTGGGAGCGATTCCAGTCTTCCATCGACAACCAGCCCATTGCGGATGTCAGCAAGTTCTCATACCTGAAATCTTGCCTTTCCGGCGATGCGGCGAAGGCCATAGCGGGCATCTCATTGACAAGTGCAAACTATACCACCGTCAAGGATCTGTTGAAGACGAAGTATGGTTCAGCGGAGATCATCATTGCATCCCTGTACAGCCGTTTGGAAGCACTACCGGCACCACCCAACAGGCCCATGGAGATCCATCGAAGTTTCGAAACTGTGGAGTGTCTCCTTCGACAGCTGGAAACACAGGGAGAGAAGTTGGCAGATCAACGTCTCCTGTGCCAAAAGCTGTGGGGCAAGGTTCCACTCGAGGTTGCCACCAAGTTTGAGGAGTGGCGTGGTATCAGCAACGCCGGCCAGCCCTGGAAACTAACCACTCTACGAGA